CAGAACCCTGAGCTGACGAGGGTAACCCCGTGACGTAACGGAGGAAGAACCCAAGTGTCTGAGGTCGCGCAAACTCATGCCCCAAAATTCCTACTGACCACCCGCTCCAGCCTGGGGTGAGCGGGGTGAAGACCAGCTCGTGACGGCTTGTTTCCAAATAAATGTGTGCAGGACTGAGCTTCCAGGTTCTTTTCACAAATAAATATAAGTTTATAAATGCTACTGAAGATTCAGAGACACCATCTTAATGTTTTGCAAGGACTCAGCTAAAGAAATGAGTACTCTGATCATATTCAGAAGTGCATTTCGAACACGACTTAATAATTACAGTATGTACAGCTCCTGGATATAGAAGGGCATTCAGATCAAAGGATATGCCTTCCAGAGAGGCTTGAAGCACAACACCTCTTTTGCTATAAATTCATCTCTGTCAACATTACCTAAAAAGCAAGTGCACATTTGCGTACATTCAGAGCCTCATAACTTGATTCACAAACGGGGGTGAGTGATGTCTCGAATGGCAAGTACTCTTGGTTGGATCTTTGAACTGTGGTGCTAGATGCTTGCAGAAGGGATCATAACATAAGAAGATGCTGCTGGGTCAGACAGTCCATCTAGTCCTGCATTCTATTTCACACTGTGCCCAAACCAGTTGTCCTGGAAGGCCAAATAAACTTCCCCTGATGCTGCCCCTGTATTTGAAGGTTCCCTTTACATACCACAGCTAGTAGACATTGATGGACCTTCCCCATCCTATTTGCTCATGTAGAATCTTTTTGACACTTCATCCCACAGCAACCCCCCCACTTCCAATTGATCCTGGAGTTTGGAAGAGCTTTGTGGACAAAATGCCATGTTCATGAAAGGCCCCATCATAGTGAGGAAGGTGAATCAGACACAGTCATCATGTTCACCTCTTTTTTCTGCCCAATTGCTCATCCTCATTGCAGATGCCCCCCCACACCATGCATCATCTTTCCCACAAGACTCTCCTGACCTATATCATTGGCTTTGCGAAGGTTGCAGAGGGCTGCTGTAGAAAATGTACACAACCCTGTCAATTTTCAGTTCTTTTGGTTTTCTCTCATATTTGAGATGACCTGCTTCATCCCTACCTTAGTTCTTTCCCTTATAATTGTCTGAATGTAGCTATTCTGCCACTTTTTTTACACTTTTATTATGATAGCCTTGGTTTCTGCCAATAAAAGGGCTCTTTTCAGTGTTGTTTTGGCCTTTGAGGGAGGACTTATTGCAACCAGGCCGGGAAGTAACCATGAGGCAACTTACTACCATGCAACTTGTGTGCATAACCCAGTACGAGCTGCTTGCTACAGGCAACTACCACACCACAAAAGCCAGTGTGCTGTAGTGGTTAAAGGTTCAGACTAGGATATGGGACAAACAAGTCTGACTTTCTACTCTGCTGTGTAAGTTCACAGGGTAACCTTGGGCCAGCCACACACTCTCAGCCTAACTTACCTCACATGGCTGCAGAGAGAATAAAGTGGAGGAGAGGAGAATGATGTAAGTTGCTTTGGATCCCAGCTGTGGAGAAAGGTGGGGTATAATGTAGTGAATAATAAATAAATATAGCTGAAGATGGAGGGCCAATAAAAGATAGGTTAGTGGGTGGATGAAAAGGAAAGCAGGGAAAGGTGAGGGTATGGTGAGGATATGAGGGTTGCCAGGAGGGGGGAAAGAGGAAATTGTATGGAGGAAGGGGATACAGGGGGAAATGAGTTGCCCATTGCACAACTGGGCCCATCATGGTGGCTGGTACCATGCGACTGAGCCATAGTTTTCTCAGGTAGAGGCCGCTTAATCTCCAAACTCTGAAGAATAGGCATCAACACTGATTTATGTTCCATCTTTCAAAAGTACTGTGTAAACCAAACAATTTTTTTTTTTGCCACCACTACATCATCCCTCAGTTTTAAAGAAGCAACTCAACCTCCCTGGGACTTTATTGACTTCAGAGTACTTGGTTTGATTTCATGTTTGAATTTTCCCACAAATGAAAAACCTCCTGCATAGAGAAAGCTAGCACAGCAGGGAAAAACCTGGAATAACATTTTTAATATGGATAATTCCATATAGTTTCCCATATCTGTATTCTGAAGTGGCACAGCCCAGGAGGACTGTATCCATTTTTTGTATATGTAGATCAGGCCATGAAGGCCTCCCCCTTAAGCTGAGTGTGTGTAAAGTGCTGTTAAGTCACAGCCAACTTATCCCAGCGTGCCCGGCATGCCCGCATCACTTCGGGGTGATGTGCACGTTGGGGTGGAGTTCCCCCCGGGACCCGATCCACTGGCGGTGGGGAACGGGCCTCTGGGCGGGGATTTCCATGCCCCCCCGGGGGGACTTGGCAAGCCTAATACTATACCACCATCTGATGAGATCAGGCTATACCATGCCATGGTGGTGCAGCTATCCAATTCCAATAAGAAATATAGTTTCAATTATAAATACATGCAATACAAAACAGAGCTTATATTTTATTTGCTTAAGGCCCCACCTTGGAGAAGAACTGCAGCCTGTATACTAAGGAAGTTATGCCCTAGGCTGTAAATATTATCTGTTCTCTTTTCTCTGTTTGGATCTAGTTGGGTCCAGCTGGTTGATATAATGACTGGGAGGAGCATGGTTTTCAAGCTAAAGATCATTTCTGAAACAATCACAGGGGGGGGGGGCGGTTAGAAACATTCCTTTAGTGCACAGGAATTTACCTAAATGGTTTCTAGTGATATGCTTGTTACAAGAATGAAATATTTCTGCTGCCAATATTATGCATTATAAGAATGGGAATGTCTTACCTAAAGAAGTGTTGACATAACAATATGCAGTTGCTTCTCCTTTGACATAATACAGCCAAGAACCCGTTCTTCATACATAGCAGCTTGTGGCTCATTTGGTGGTGGTGGAAAGTGTCATCTAGTCCAGCTGATTTATGGCAATCCCATAGGGTTTTCAGATGAGATCTTGGAAGCCAACCCTGCTTAGTTTCCAAGATCTGCCAAGACTGGGCTAGCCTGGGGCATCCTTTAATACTTATTTAGTACTGTAATTTCCTTGTCTCTGCCTAGGAAATATTAAATAGTATTATCTCATTGGGTCACACTGAATGTTTGAGTTTTGGTAAATTCCTCTCACTGCTTTTAGTAGCCCACTGTGAGGTATTCCAAAATGATTAATCAGTCCCTGTGCTCTTCCCTCCTAAAGCCATCTAAAAGGTTATGTCTTCAGTAAAATACAAAGGTTCCAGAATAACATGGCCAAAATGCTTTCCTGCTAATGTCATGATCTAGTGAGAATTGCATCAGCGGTGCCTGGGTTTGCTGCCCTCTCTCCTTTCATATTCTACATATCAGCAGTGTAGAACTTGTCTCAAAAGGTCAGCCTGTCCATCAAAACACACTCGCCTGAGGAAAAGAGCTGACAGGTATATTTACCCCAAATAAATAAATAATTAAATCATTATTTGGACCAGCAGAATAAAACATACATTAGTAGAGTAGTTATAAGAATATGTATGTATATGTATGTACACACACACACACACACAATCTTCTGTATATAGTATAGAAAAGCAAATGTGTGCATGTGTTACATGCCATCAAGTCGCTGCTGGCTGATGGCAACCCTATCAATTAATGTTCTCCAAAACATCCTATCATTATCAGCCGTTCTCAGGTCTTGCAAACTGAGGATGGAACAATTCCACCTCCTGTTGGGTCTTCCTGTTTTCCCAGCATTATTGTCTTTTCCTGTGATTCCCTGTATTTTCATAATAGGACCAAACTGATACAGCCTCAGTTTAGCCAATTTTGCTTCTAGGGAGAGTTCAACCTTGATTTGGTCTAAGACCCATTTATTTGTCTTTTTGGTGGCTCACAGTATCTGTAAAACTCTCCTCCGACACCACATTTCAAAAGAATATACTTTCTTCCTGTCAACTTTCTTCATGTCCAATTTTCACATCCATTCATAGTAATGGGGAATACAGTGGTATGAATTAACTTGATCTTGGTCACCAGAGACAAATCCTTACACTTAAGGATCTTTTCTAGCTCCTTCTTGGCTGCTCTCCCCAGTTTCAATCCCCTTCTGACTTCTTGGTTGCAGTCTCCCTTTTGGTTGATGATGGAGCCAATAAATAGAAAATCTTGAGCAATTTTAATTTCTTCATAATAAACCTTAAAGCTGTATAATTCCCCAGTAGCCATTACTTTTGTCTTCTTGGTGTTCAGCTGTAGTCCTGCTTTGGCACTTTCTGCTTTAACATTCAGCAGTAGTTGTTTCAAGTCTTCACTGTTTTCTGCCAAATTGTAATATTTTCTGCCAAATTGTTAATGTTCCTTCCACCAGTTTCCACTCCACCTTCATCTAAACCTCATCCAGCTTTCCTTATGATGTGTTCTGCATACAAATTGAAGAGACAGGGAAATAAAACGCATCCTTGTCTGACACCTTTGCCAATTGGAAACCATTATGTTTCTCTATATTCTGTCCTAACAGTGGCCATTGTAAGATTTTGAGCATCACTTTACTTGCATGAGAAATTAATGTGATAGTCCGATAGTTGCTGCAATCTATGATGTCTCCTTTTTTAGAATTGGGATGTAAATTGAGTGTTCCCAGGCTGTGGGCCATTGTTTTGTTTTCCATGTTTGTTGGCACAATCTTGTAAAGATTTTGATGGACTCCACTAAATCAACACTGTACCTCAATAAATGCATCAAAAATGGAACTTAGTAGTGAGTTTGCACCCCACTGATGTCCAGGCTGTGAAATCTTCCTCTGACATTAAGGTCTATGAACTTAAATATAGAACTTGTAATTTATCAATCACAGATCCACTTGAATTTTCCTAGACCTGAATCTGGACATTTCCCAAGTGTAGAAGTTGATTGTATCACATATTCAAGCTCATATGTAGCCATAGCAATGTACTATTAATTCCTGAAAACAATAAGGGGGGAATTTTGTTTCCATTTTAGGTTGTCCAGGAGCTAAGAAGAATGAGTTCCTGACCAGTGTTCTGGATGCGCTGTCCACAGATATGGTGCATGCAGTCTCTGACCCTGCTGCATCTTCTAGCAGGTCAGTCAAGGGTACTAAGGTGTACTGTGATTTTTGTAAGATATTCCAAGTATCATTCATTCATTTTGTTATTTCTATGTAAAATAACTTGATGAAACTGTTATTAAGAAGAAGAAGAAGAGATTGGATTTATACCCCGCCCTTCACTACCCAAAGGTGTCTCAGAGCGGCTTACAAACTCCTTTCCCCTCCCCTCCCCACAACAGACACCCTGTGAGGTAGGTGGGGCTGAGAGAGCTCTTGACAGAAACTGCTCTTTTTCAAGGACAGCTCTGACAGAGCTTGCGACTGACCCAAGGTCACATCAGCAGGTGCAAGTGGAGGAGTGGGGAATCAAACCCGGTTCTCCCAGATTAGAGTCCGCACACTTAACCACTACACCAAACTGGCTCTCAGGGCTAAGCATTTATGTTGAAAATGTCAGATCTAAGAACAAGTGCAAGATGAATGCCTCACACTGCTAATGAAGTGCAGACTGTTCCCCCTCATTCAGGAGCAGAGGAAGGGTATCTGTATTTTCAAATTAGTAGAAACTGTAATCAAAGATAGAAGTATTAAGCACATAGAGAAACAAAGCCTGTTGAGGGAAAACCAACATGGCTTCTGAAAAGTCCTGCCTCACCAACCTTTTGGAGTTCTTTGAGAAAACGAACAAGCATGGTGACCCGATAGACATTATATACTTGGATTTTCAAAAGGCTTTTGGCAAGGCACCTCACCATAGACTCCTGAGTAAACTTAGCAGTCATGGGATAAGACAACAGGTCCTCTTATGGATTAAAGACTGGTTAAATGACAGGAAGCAAAGAGCAGGGATAAATGGACAGTTCTCACAATGGAGGGAAGTAAGCAGTAGGGTCCCATAAGGATCAGTATTGGGGCCGGTACTGTTTAATTAGTTCATAAATGATCTGGAAGTAGGGGTTAGTAGTGTAATGGCCAAGTTTGCAGGTGGCACCAAGTTATTCAGGAAGTTGAGAACCGAGGCTGACTGTGAAGAGCTCCAAGAGGATCCCCACAAACTGTGTGATTGGGTGACAGTGTGGCAAATGAAGTTCAACATTGGTGTTAGGTGATGCACATTGGGACAAAAAAAAATCCCACCTCCAGTAGGCTAATGGGATCTGAACTTGCTGAGACTGAGAGGGAAAAAGATCTTGGAATCATAGTGGCTAGCTCAATGAAAGTGTCAGCCCCGTATACTGCAGTAGTGAAAAAGGCAAAGTCTATGTTATGGATTATTAGGAAAATAAAATGGCCAATATTATAATGCCCCTGTATAGATTTATGGTGCAACGTCAGTTAGAATACAGTGTACAATTCTGATCACTGTCTCTCAAAAAAGACATTGCAGAGCTGGAAAAAATGCAGAAGAGGGTGTCCAAGATGATTAGGGCTTTGGAGCACCTTCCCTATGAGGAAAGGCTGAAGAGTCTGGGACTGTTCAGTTTAGAAAAGAGATGACTAAGGGGGGGACACGATAGAGGTTTATAAAATTACACATGGGGTGGAGAGAGTTAACAAAGAGAACTGTTTTCTGTCTCTCCCAAAATACTAGAACCCAAGGACATCCAATGAAACTGTTAAACAGTAGATTCAAGATGGACAAAACAAAATGTGGAATTCACTGCCAGAAGATGTAGTGATGGTCACAGAATAAACAGCTTTAAAGGGGGATTCATGGAGGATAGGTCTATTTGTGGCTAATAGCCATGGTGACTGATGGGAACGTCCATATGCAGAGGCAGCCAGCACCTGAATCCCAGTGCCAGGAGGCAACATGAGGGCAAGACCTCAGTCTCTATACCCTGTTGTTGTCCCTCAAGAGGAACAGGTTGGCCACTGTGTGAGACAGG